TTCTGTCATAACCATACCTCCAAGAAGTCATAGAGAGACTCAAAGCAATCATGTTCCCCACTAACCATCTGTGTACATTTCATAGGTAATCAACCACTGGCATCACTCTCGCTAGTGTTTCTGTTACCTGGTTCTACAATCCTACCTGGGCACTTTGCTGGCTTCCAGTGGCCAGCAGAGCTCACAGGCTGTACGCATGACATTGACTCAGAGAAGTATAGAGATCGTCCTTTGGAATAAGTTTGCTGTCGTATTTCTGATGGGGACCCATCAGGGAGGCCCGGGTTTGCCGTGTGTCTTTGCCAGCTCCCTGGGTCTGTGTCTGTCTGCCATTCCTGGACTGAAGTAGGCGTCACCACTTCCTTTCACTTGACAGTTTCATTTGTCCTGAAAGCTAAGAGCAGCCAGAGTTCAGGAGAAAAGAAAAAGAAAATGGAGGCGTAGGGAACCCCTCAGTTCCTGGGCCCACTGGTCCTATTCTCTGCAAAGGTCTCCACCCCAGGGTGAGCCCCAGAAAAGCATTTTCTGGTGGCTCCAAGTTTATTCCTCACCACTGCAGCAAGACAGTGGCTTTAGGGGTGTCTTTTGTGCATATTTGAGCCCTCTTTACAGAGGGGCAGAGAGAGGAGTAAGAAGTTGCTCCTTCAGTCTCTTCAGTACCTTCTGAGCACTTGCAGTCAGCTTCAGCAGATTCAGCTCCAGTGAGAAGCCACACTGTATTGCCACCCAAGTCTCAATGGATCCACAAAAGCCCCAGGGTCGTGGCTCTCCGTTATGGAGTAGGGACCTCCCAGAAACAGTCAGAGTTGGGGTTTGTTTGTCGATTTTTGTTCCAGGAGACAGACTTTCTTTCCTACCCTCTAAATCTCCTTGGCCTCAAGGCCATTTCTTACTCAGTATTCTGCTTTCTTAGACCTTTGCTTTTAATACACCCCCTTATGGACTCTCTGAGACTTGACCATTAAGTTTCAGCATCTGCTGCTAACAGACTCTGTTTGTAAGTATTTCCTACAGAGTCCAGTTGGTCTAGCCCCATGTGCCAAGCTACATTTTTTGTACCTGGTCAGCCTACGAATTTGTAGCTCCTAGGTTGGATGTCTCTTCTGTCCAATCAGCTTAGGCCAGAGGCAGAGCATGGAGCATAGTACATGTTCTCTGGTTAGGGCTGAACACAAGGCAAGCATCATAATTGCTGGACTAGCCCAGAATGGGAGAGGTAGGTGGTCTTGGGAGTTTGTGTCCTATATCAATGTCATCCCTGGGAGCCACTGACCTGGATGGGACTTCTTCATGCTCTGAGAAGGGCATATGAGCAGACATTGGCTTATTCTGCCTTGGGACACCATCTGTCCCAACAATACAGTCATGGATAGGCTTCTCTGGGGCCTATGGATAGCCAAGGGTGAGCTCTTTTTGGCTGATGAGCTCATGCTCCAGGTTGGGACAGCTTCTGAGACCACAAGGGGTCTGCCAGCCCCGCAAGTGTTCTTTAACAACCCGCTGTGGGTACTGCTGTGCAGCGGGGCTGTGAAGGGGATACCATCTCACCATCTGGAAGAGGCAGAATGAGAAGCAGGCAGTTTTTGGGGTATGAAAGCCTTTGTCATTTTATTCTACAATAAAAAATTCCAACAGCATATGAACACTCTGTTCTTGGCAGAGGCCAAGGATGTACAAAGTTAATTGGAAAGTGAAGCACTAAATGACAAAAGCTACAGTCAAAGCTCCTGCTCAGTACTTGTCTTTGCCCAGAGTGTCTAACGTGCTCAGTGGGAGTCACCAGTCTGGGTTTTCCAGCTAGAGTGAAGCACGTGCACAAGTGCTTCCATAGCCTCCAAACCACTGACAACAGCAAACACAGCTCCAGATGAGGCTGGCTTTTTGGGCAGTTCCAAACTTAAGAATGCCTTTATTTTTTTATTTTATAGAACAAATTAGTTCAGTGGATGGGAGAAGCTAAAATATTTTGCTAGATAAAACTGAATTATGAAGCTAAGACTTTAGTAAGAATACCTTCAAATATACTTTTCAAAGCATTATTAGAGATGCCACATGCTCCTCACAACCACAGGGAGGCAGGCAGGACAGACTCACAGGAGAGGGACTGGGGACTGGTTTAAAGTGAGTTGCTCAAGGCCTTGACTAGTTATGCCTTTTTCAAAATTTCCAGACCAAGCCAGCCCCATGGCCTAGTGGTTAAATTCGGCGTCCTTTGCTTCAGTGGCCTGGGTTTTGTTCCCGGGAGGGGACTTACACCACTCGTTTGCCAGTGGCTATGCTGTGGCCACGGTTCACATACAAACAGAGGAAGATTGGCAGTGGATGTTAGCTCAGGGCAACTCTTCCTCAGCAAAAAAATAAAAGAAAAATTTCCAGACCAATGAAACTCCCCTGATTTTCTTTGGTACAAACTTCTCTCCTCAGTTTGTGTGTGGGTTGGGGGTGAGTTTAGACATAAGGTAGAGATGGGGGGAAATAAGGCCACAGTTAATTTATGTAAAATACATTGATGGCCTCCCTCTATAATTTAAACAAGTCTGGTCAAGGTCAGAGAATGAAAATAATCAGTTTCTAGATTTCATTACATAATGGCTTTCACTAAAGTGTGGGTTTGACCTATGAGGACAAATTCTGCCACATTACAGATTTCCCTATATTTGAAACCTGCCTAATCCAAGCAACCTAATATCTTCTAAAAGAACTTGTTTCTGGCACTTTTAATTCTATTTCCTAAATAGCCCTTTTCAGAAACACCCTACATTTTAGCATTTATCACAGGCTGGGATTCTGTAACAGTTCACTTTAAGAAATCAAGAGACCTTTTAATTCTCAGGACACTAACATTATACTTGGAAGAGTAGGGCCACAATAAATCAATTTCACTTGAAACCAGTTTTGTTTCCAAAGACTGTTAGAGGCTCAGCAGCTTTCTCACCCATGCAGGTGCATGGCACTGAGCTACACCCAGAGTACCTAGCTGAGATGACGCATTTCAATTTACAAGTGTTTATTGTTTGCTGAGCAAGACGTTGTGCTAACTGGGCCTTGGTCATAAATCACTTCCTAGACCCAGCAGCGGCATCAATGGTACTGGTGTTGGAGTGGGAAAAGGTTGGGGCAGGTCTGGCCTGCCCTCCAGAGTTCCAAGCACACAGGACCTTATCTGGTGCAAGTCAGAGGTGTCCTCCCCTCTCTGTGGCAGGGTCCATAGGGATTGCTCCCCTGCTGGCTGCTTCCTAGGAGTGCTGGTTAATTCCAGTCCATAGCAGGTTCCTTTTGAAGGTCCTGCCTGCTCATGCTCCCCGCTCTGGGTACTAGCCCCTCACAAAAGCCCTCACTGAAAGGGTGAGTTCCGAGGGTCATGCTTGTACTACATGACCTTGCCTCCCTGGTTACAGCTGTTTGGACAGCCACCTGGTGGCTCATCCACAGGTAGACAAACCAGACCAGTCAGATTCTCAAGAATTTGCCGTAACGGGCACAGAGATGGTGGTCAGTGAGGGATGGGTACCAAAGAGGAATGGTTGTGGGGAGTGGGTACTGAGGTGGGTTCTCAGCTACATATACACTAATGAGAAAACAGAGAAAGCTTAGGAGGCCAACGGAAGGAAAGAACTTAGAAGAAATGCAGAGAGAAACAGAGATAAGAGTTCATGTGGGGCGAGAATGTGAGAAAGAGCAAGAGCGAGGACAGCTGTCTCCATCCCGTTCCCCACGGGAGCTGTTTTGTTTCTACGAAATGGCCTCTGTCTCTCAGTCAACCCCTACACCAGAGCCAGTGGGAACGGCTTCAAGTCCACGCAGAGTCAGACCACCTGCAAGGCTGGCTAAAGGGCAGGATTTAATGTCTAACACTTGGTCCCGAGCCAGTCACTGCTCCCAGCTAAACCACTATCCTTCCCCAAGAATGTTTGGCTGTCTTTTGTGAAAAAGTCCAAACTATTTTCTGGTGTGTGATAGAAGGAATAGATTAAGTTTAAATTCCGTTCTCAAACTTTTAAAATAGTATCTGTTATTTTATTCATTGAACTTTGAGTGCCTTGTGTTATATAGAAAAAAAGCAGCTTATTTATCTGTAATCAATATTGGAATCTTTTAATCCCTGTCTCTAATTTCTGCCTGTTAGAGAAGCATTTCTGATAGTCAGATATGTAAATTCCTCTCCTCCTCCATCTGTACTTTCTCTCAGAGTTTTTTTTTTTAGTCACAAATCTAACAACTTGCTATCCATTCTTCCCTTAAGATTGCTCAGAAATTACATGCCCTTCTGCTGAATTCTTAAATTAACAAACGCACAGTATCATTTATCCCAGGACCACAGAATTGATTCTTACATAATCCAGCCTGTTTTAGTCAGCTCAGGCCGCCATAACAAAGAGCCATAGACTGGGTGGCTTATAAACAACAGAAATTTATTTCTCACAGTTCTGGAGGCTGGCAGTCCGAGATCAGGTGCCAGCGTGGTTGGGTTCTGGTGAGGCTCTCTTGTGGGTTGCAGACTGCTGACTTATTATTTTATCCTCACACGGCAGAAAAGAAGGCAAGAGAGCTCTCTGGGGTCCCTTTTATAAAGGCACTAACCCCAACCATGAAGGCTCCCCTCATGACCTAAGCACCTCTCAAGTTCCCACCTCCTAATATCATCACCTTGGGGGTTAGGATTTCAACACATGCATTGGAGGGGGAGGCAAACATTCAGTCCACAGTACACCCTGAAAGAGGCAACTTCCTGCTCCACAGGCAACAACTGCTGTCTCAGATCACAGGTACCAGGACACACAAAAGACTGTTAATTTCCTGCATCAACAGATTGCACCTCCACGCCCCAATGCAGAGAGCATGGAATCTGCTGCCTCACAACGACAGGCTGTCCTGGCCTCCCTCCCTGCCTGGATCCTGCAGCCTGAACAGCAGTGGAGAACACCATCCCCTTGATGGTAATCTCTAGAAAAAGCCAAACTGCATTTCTTTTCCTGAATGCAGAAAACTTACATCAAAACTAGTTCTGAAAAATGTTTATTATGCCACAAATGCATTGTCCTCTATATACTTTATCTGAAGTTCTTTATATATTCAATCATCTTTTTTCTTCACAAGAACATAGAGAACCCCTCATTTGACCTTTGTCTACTTTTTAAACTTCCAGTACGGTTCAAGAAATGTGTGACGGACAAGCATGCAGGCAGCATGGTGACACCTGCTGGAGCATGATCCTTGGGCAGGTCACTCCACTTCTCTGAACTTTCACTCCATTCTCCAAGGTTGCCAAGGTCCTTTGTGGCTTCTTCAGCTGTCTGGAGGGTCGTGAGGATGCAGAACCTCTGGGATTTCATGGAACTCTACTTTCCCTTCCATGAGGCTCCTTGGACCCTCTGCCTTTTCTCAGAGTCAGCTGTCCGGGTATCTGCCACCTCCATAAGGTCAGGAGGCTCTTTCAGAGAAAAGACCACATCTTATTCACAGAAAAATCAAACCATGGTGGCTATCTCCCCATTGCTGGGAAAACATGAACAGATTGATTTCTTTTCAGCTTAAGGTTCTCTTCCCAGATACTCTCCTTAAACCTGTGGTGTCTGGTTTAAAGGAGTATCTGATTTGTTTCTCCATCTTCTTAGCAAGCTGGAGCTGTACCACTGCCTCCTGTAGGCTCATTCTCTCTAAGTCACTGAAACATCCAAGCTCAGACATTGTCTTTGAAGCACATATATTTTAATTACACTAAGGTCTTGAAACTTCATTTTCACGTAAAGTATTTCCAGGCGTTTACCAAGCAGACAAACTACTGGGTTGAGATCATTGCACTGATGAAGATTAATAGTACTGATAAGGCGGGACAATGTAGCTGACTTTATCGGACTCATATCATTTGCATGGAAAGGCTGAGTTTCTTTGGCTCTTTGTTCATTCAAGTGCATACCTATTTGGATAGACTTAGGCATTGTGTTAATCTGTCAATAAAATCTTGCACTGTCCACAGTGTTTTGCAAGCTGATTTAGGTTTTGGACTATGACAACTGGCCATTGGTAGAAATATACCATATATACACATGGAAATTACAAAAATACTTTTTATTTATAGCTGATTTTTTTCTTAAGTAACAAAAAACTAACACTATGAAAGATCAACCAGCATACCAAAAGGATACTACCTAATATCATCCAAACAAGAGACCAGTTTGGGGATTCCATGACACATCATCTCTGGAACATTCCTGAAAGGGCTGTTTGCCACTGGGAAATAAAAACAGCTTCTTGGAAAAGTCTGTGCTTTGACAGTTTGCATCTCCCATTCTAATCACTTCCATTCCTACTCTTCCCTCAGGCTTTAAATTTCTACCTTCTTCTCTCAGTAAAGACCAAAGAAACTCAGGAGGAGAATGGAAAGATGGGCTCAGAGGAAATGGAGGCAGCTGAAGCCAGACAGATCATGGGTGAAGGCAGCACAGGACCTTGCTCTCCAACAGACACCATTCAAGCCCCCGACACTGCGCACAGCTCCCAAAGCTGGGGAGGAACCAGAGTGTCCCCTCCCCTGGGGCTACCGGAAGGCAGCAGCTGTTTTGCTTTTGCATTGACAGTTCGCGGCGGGGACTCAGGGTTTTGAGGCCATGTCCACCCCCACGCCATGCCCACCATGGTGATGGGCAACACCACGGTCACAAGGTCAGCAGCTGTGTCATTTCAGCAAACGTCCTCTGTGTCCATTAACTACGGGGAGTGGGGAGGGAGGGGACCGGCAAACTCCATACACATTTTAAAATGTTATTTACATTTAAACATAAATCAATAGATTTTCTACATCCAGAAGCTTCTATAAACAGAGGCCTCAGCCTGGGGAGGCTGTGGATCCACCATGCCTGCTTCCAACAGGCATCAATTACCATCTCCTTTTGTATCACTCAGCAGCACAAGCTGGACATCATTGTTGAAGAGACAGATTTTCTTGTAAACGTCGATGCATCTATTATCCCCCCAAAGAGAGAAGCTTCGTTTTCAGGCCACCTCCATTGCAGGGCAAAGAAAAACCTCCACAAATACCTGTTTGTCTTTTGTAGGGTCCTAAAAGCACTGCGCGCCGATCCTCTTTCAGTTGGAGGGTACTCTACAGCGCCTTCCAAACCTGCCAACACGAGCCCACCATTCCCTCTCATCTTGTCTCTTTCCGGGCCTTTGTTTAATTAATGAAAGAAAAAAGAGTTAGGACTATTTATAAGTGCGGGACTGCCAGTATTGACTTTCATCCAATTCATTTGACTTTGAATATGAACTTTTAAAAGAAAAGGACTCAAGTTTCTTGGCTGGAGTTGGTGCCTCCCTTGCAGACTGGAGGTGATTTTAACAGTTGCAGTCAGAGCTGGAGAAGGGCGAGTCCAGGCTGCAGCTCCATCGCACGCCTGCACTGCCCTCAACACACAAACAGTTAACGTGCAGAGGTCACCACAGACAGAACTCTGTGCTCCCCATCCTGGTGTTTTATTAAAATGTGGCAGTGGACAGGAGTCTTCAGATGAGACAGCCTCTCGTGACTAAGGCTCCATAGGGAAACACGCCCACAGTTCAAACATTTAACACAACAGAATATCAAACGGATGGTCCCATGCAGGGACTTCTTGACCTGCAATCAGTTGAACAAGCCAAGAGGCATGTCATTCAAGATCTTTCCTGTTTCCCAGAAGCCCTACTGTTCACCTTTTCAGAAACTGAGGGTGAGACAGACTCATACATTGTCTGTGTCTCAAGTCCTGACACATTAGGCTTGAGAAACCCGCAGATGGCTTCCTCAGAGTGTGGAAGTCCCTCAGGGCGAAGGCGTCAGACCTGGAACTCAAACATGTCTGTCTGTTTCTTGGCCAGCTTGGCCACTTCTTCCCGGATGGCCTTCACGAGGGCCGCCGTGGAGATGTTGGTGAGTGGCGTCTCGGACGGGTCATTCTCTGCCAGGCTCTGCTGTGAGGCGGCCGCTGAGGGCGTCGGGGCCTGCTCCAGGCTGGGGTGCAGGCCGGTCGGCTGGCTGTACTGGCGGGGCAGCCTGGAGGGCGAGTTCTGCTGATACCGTGAGCGGGGGTAGGCCTCAATGTACCCTGGGAGGGGGACCTGCAGGGGAGGTCGGAGGAGAAGAGAACGGGGTTAGGAAGAGGCTCAAGCCACCGGACACACTTGATACTGGAAGCAGGAAGGGACTGAGGACAAGGAAAGAGATTCAGAAGAAAATGGAGGCCACGTACCATGCAGTGCAGATACAGTCCCTGGATATGCTAGTTGGGTGATTAAATGGGGTTTCAAACCTTGCTGCCAACAGTTGGAACATCCCTGAGTCCACATCTGAACCCACCCGGCCAGCTTTCGAACGTAAGCACAGCTTAGCGAACAGTGTTGTTCTCTGTTGCCCTCAGGGGACTCAGGGGTTGACTGTTGACATGATCGCTGACCCTGAATGAGCCCTGGGCTGACGGCTTCCCACATGTGATCATATTTCACTCTCCAAGCAACAGCCTAGGAGCTATGTATTATTATTCTTATCTCACAGAAGAGGGAACTGAAGCAAAGAGTGCCACAGTCTCAGGTGACACAGGTAACAAGCCACTGAGACACACTTCAAGCAGCTGTCTCCAAGGGCTGGGAGTCAGCCGCTGCACTAGAACATTTTCCATCTGGAATACAATCTTGGTTTCTCGAAAAATTCTTCTCTTTTCTTTAAAAGTGTAAGATGCACAGTTCTATGCTTAAATACACGGACACTTCTAGCACTAAAGACAGGTCACTGGTTTGGGATTCGGGGTCGACTTTCCCAGAGAAACAGCACCACATGTGGGGATGCTGTCCCGGGTCGTCCACAAAGGCCTCTCTCTCCCAGAATGCGGGCAGGCGCGCTGCGGGATGAGTGCCCTGGAGCACACAGGATAGGCACAGGGTGCTGCAGCGAACGGGGCAGGCGGGTGGCGGGGAGGGCGGTTGGGTGGCTTTGGGGGACAAGCAGCTTCACTGGGTCTGGAAGGCTGTGGCCAGGGAGACCAGGTGGGAGGGTGTTCCAGGCGGGCGGAGGGAGGGAAGCAAACGCAAGGTCATGGGGTGCCTAGAGGATGGTGCACCCTGGGAGGCTGGGTGAGTTGGCTCCTACTAGAGAGGGTATGTGGGGTGTGGGAGGAGCTCAGGAAAGACAGACAGGCAGGGCCAGATCAGAAAGCTGTTGAATGCCAGGCTTCAGAGTTAGGTTTTCCATGGCACACTTCTGAGGACTGGAGCATGATCCCATTCCCTACGAGGTGCTCCCCTGGGCCTGGTAAGGATGCAGTGGGATGGGCCTGGGTGATGATGCAGAATCTTTGTATGGGCGAATGTGTAGGAAGCAAGCAGCCCAAACCTCTCCCCGCCAGATGTTCCAACAACCCCTCTGGAGGGGACAGGTTTCTGAGACACAGCCCCGAGGGGCGCCAGGCAGAGAGAGGGAGGTCTGTATTCTAGAAAGGAGGCTCTGGAGGTGAGCCCTCAGGAGGGCGCGAGAAGATGGCTTCTGAGGATGCTGCAAGAGGCCAGGTGAGAGCTGGCGAGGACCCGTGAGAGGGAGGAAGGAATGAGATGGACGTCCCAAGTCTGGGCTTTATTTCCCCACAAGACCTGGTGAAGAAAGACCAACTGGCAGACAGGTGCTCATGGTGGGTCCCTGCCCACGAGGGCTGGCATATTTCACCTCATCGTAGAGGAAAACCACAGCTGGACTGTCCGAGTCCTTGGGCCTCAAGCGCTGGGAATACCCAGGTGACTGGGGTACCAGAGAGCCAAGGCCGGGACATAGGACTTGCAGGTCAGGTCTCAGCTCAAACTTCCCTTCTGCCGAGAGACCCTCCCCAGCCCTGTCTCAGCAGGGCTCCCTGTGAGGGCCTCTGTGCATCTTCCCCAGCGTAACAGTCACCACTCGGAGGTCATTGCCTGTCTCAGGCCGTCGAGTTCCTGATGGCAGAACTGGGTGTCACTCGCCTAGTGCCGTGCACCAGTGCCCAGAACTGCACACGGCACACAGTAGGGAGCCTCTCAGAGCCCAGGGCTCTGAGGAGCACGGTCTGAAATCGTCGAAGGCTGACGAGCCAGTGCCATCTGTTTGTGAGGGAAGCTGCCACGTCTGCTTTCCCAGCATTTCAAGCTCAGCTGGAGCTGAGAGTCCGTGTCCAGCTCGGAGACCCCCCAGCTCTGCGGCCTCCAGCATCTTGGTGCTGGTGCTGGGACAGGCCAGGGACACACGGCTCCCCTGGAGAGGCTGCAGGGCAATATGCAGAGAAGACGAGAAGCTCCCCCTCCCTACGGGGGACGCAGGCTGGAGCCATCACGTCTTGCCAGCTAAAATCCAGGGCTGGTAAACAGCACTCCCTCCCCAGCCAGTGCCCATGGCAGGCATCACCTACGGACCACAGCACACTTTCCTGCTGGGCCTGGAAGCCCCTCCAACCGGCTCCATCCAGCACCACGGATGTCTCCTCTCTGTCAACCCAGTCCCAGGTGATTTATCCAAGCCAGCTGCTTACATCTGAATACCCGGGATCAGGAAGGTCAGACACCCAAATGAGCTGGGGCTCCTCCTCCTCACACGGGTGCAGAGGGTGTGCAATATCTCTGCCCGATGGAGGCTGCAGCAATCACCTTCCTCTTCAAAACAACCGAACTAGCTTGCCCTCACACTGAGAGGACAAGCCCAGAATGACAGAGGCATCCTGTCGGGAAGGTGAGCTGTTGATTTGCTGGGTTCCTTCTCCTTCATATTTAAGGCAATACGAACCCAACGGCATCTGGATGTTGCCATAAGCCTGGCTAAGCTCTCGTCTGTAAGTGTCTTGAGGACAAGAGCCAGGGTTTTGGGAAATACCTCTGCTGACTCCTCAGAATACCCAGGGGGCTCTGCACCCAGAGGGTGAGCCCACACAGCTGCAGGTTTCCTGCCTCATTAGCACAAGTTAACTATCATCCACTTCCTGAAAAGTACACGTTGTGTTTAGACTTGAGTGGAATTAAGGAGTCAAATGAGCCCTGCCCTGATCAGCTCACACCAACGATTTCAGCCGTCTAGACGGCTGAGCACAGCAAAGGGCGCACAGCAGCCGTGGACAGCCCCCAGGCACCAAGAGGCCACACGAAGACGGCAGACCAATGGCAGGGCCCGCTGCTGGGCTCCGGGGCTGACCTGTTCCAGCTCGGCAAACAACTCTGAGGATGTCAGACCACCTCGTGTGCAGATGACAGCACATCAGGAAAAGCATATTTAGGGTGAGTATATCTCTGGAAGTGGGGACACTAACAGCAATATAAAGTGCCTGCTGGGAGCAAGCTCAGGGAAAGAAAAACCACACTGAGCCTTGTAATAACTCCAAACGCTATAGTAGTTTGGAGACGTTTGAGGTAGGTGCAATACTCCTACACAATGTCAGGACCCATCTCACAAGTGTCACGTTAGCATAGCGAGCCATAACGATGATACTGAATTAGGTGTTAAGGACAAATTAAATTATGTTCCTCTTTTAAAGAAGGAGAGGAGAAGGATATAACTGACTCCAGAATTTTACTTATTTTTTTTGCTGAGGAAGATTTGCCCTGAGCTAACATCTGTGCCAATCTTCCTCTATTTTGTATGTGGAATACCACCACAGCATGGCTGCCGACAAGTGGTGTAGGTTCACACCTGGGATCCAAACCTGGGCTGCCGAAGCCAAGCGTGTCAAACTTAACCACCAGGCCATGGGGCTGGCCCCAATTCCACAATTTTTTTAAGGCAAGATGGCATATATTTTCAAATATTTTGGAAATTAAAGGGGTAAGCTGTGATCATCAGCAAAATTAATACATGTAGGATAGTTTTACCCCTGATGGTGTTGCTTAGATGTGACAGCACTGCAATAAGAATAGACACGAAAGCTAAGGTTGAGTTGAACCTGTAGGAATAGAAAGTATGGACCCCAGGGGTTTGGACAGAAAGAAAGATGATCCAGGTCTTGGGTGTCAACATGTTTCCTAAATCTAGGATGTATTCCAAATGCTAAGACCAAACCCTAACACGGCAGACAGTACCAGGCCCCCTGTCTCAGCCTGCCTTTCTTATCCACAATGGACATTCTCACATCGAGAGCAGGGCAGCCCACTCTGGAGCCTTCACTGTGCTATTCTCGTTTGCGTGGTTTTTTCACTTAGCAGCCCTTAACTGGTGACTCAGAGGCAGGTTTGGGTGTGAACATCTGGGTCCACTGAGTTGCTGCCCTCTTTGGTCCAGGCTGAGCCAGGTTCACTGTGCCATATACTCCTACTTGTAATGAAGGAAGAAACCAGGGGCCAACGCAAGGCAGTGGTCGGGTGGAAGTCAGGCAGAAAGCCTCAGGATCCACCTGTGAGGTCATCCAGTTTGGGGGGTGAAGACTTCGTTTTCTGGTATTTCATCTAAAATGTTTACAGAATTTTAAAGCCAAAAAACACTCCAAATTTAGTAAAGGCTTTGGAGCCATCCAGACGCAGGTTTGAATTCTGGGCTTAGCGCCTTGCTAAAGCAGTGTGGCTTTAGACAAGCCATGTCACCGGCCGAGGCTTCCTTCTCCTCATCTGAGAAGGGGTGCATCCTGGGAACAACACCCACCCGACAGGATGTTGTGAAGACTGAATAAGATGACATAAATAAAACATTCAACATGGTGTCTGGTACATAGAAACACTCAAAAGATGGTAGTAGTTATTATAAAAATGTATTTGATTAAGGTCAGCCTGCTAGGAGGAGGTAGAACCTGGACTAGAAGAGAGGTCTCAGGCTCCTCTGTCAAAGGACACCCAGCCTTGCCACACGGCTCCTGAAGTTGCAGGGGCTGAGATCACAGCACTCTCAGTGCCGGCCTCCCTAAAACTCGTCAAGCAGGTGGAGTGGTGAGGGAGTCAGCAGGGTCTCACCGAATCGGCCCACTGGCTCGGCAGCTCACTCTCCCCTGCGTAGGACATCCAGGCCTGGCTCCTGTAGGACGGAGGAGGAGTCGGGATGAAGTAGCCGGTGAAGCCAGGTCTGTTGGCAGCCGGGATGGCGAACACTGCCGGCACCGTATTACCTGGCATGGAGGTGGATAGGCGAGATTAGGACAGCGCCCTGCCCACGGCCGACATCTGCACAAGGGCTGGGGGGTGAGGGGTGGGAAGCCGGCACTGGGGGAGGGGGAGGGGGAGGCAGCCACGTCCACCTGCAGCCCAGGCCCTGCTCACCTGCCCAGTCAGTAACAAGGCAACATGTGCTGCGACTCAGACCTAGCTTTCCAGAGAAGTGATAACTCAACTCCCCTCACTCAGCCCTCTCGAAGTCTCTCGTCCCCATTCCAACACCCCTGGCCTCTGGCAAGAGGAAAGGAGACCCTGTGTTCAGGTGTTTCCCTCCCAGGAGGATGAGTATTTTCAAAAAGCCAAGAAAAGGAGCCAAAAGGAGTGGATCCACTGTGGAACTCCTGTGAGGTGGGACACAGTGAGGGCTTCAATAAGTGTTGACACATGGGTGCTTGCAGTTTGAGCCGAAAAGGTATGGTTTGAATAAACTAAAAAACCAATTAGGGCATGTACACACCTCAATGTTCGCTTCAGTATTGCTTGTAAAATAGCAAAAAATTGCAAACTACCAATACCTCCCTCACCAGGGGAAAGGATAAACTGTGGCTTATAGTAGAATAGAACACCGTGCGGCAGTTTAAAGGCGTGAACTAGATCTCTGCATGGAGCAACCTGCAGAAGTCTTGAAAACGCTGAGTCAAGAAAATAAAGTGCAGAAGGAAACGTATAGCTTGACATCACTTATGTAAATTTAAAGCACAGAAAGCATTAATATATACTGTTGTACATACATACGTGTGTAGCAAAGAGTTAATAGGCACGACTCGAGGACTGTGATTACCTCTGGGGAGAAGGGGAATGCGATGGGGATGGACAGTCGTATCTGTAATGCTTTAAAGGTATTTGTAACTTAAAAAAACCCTGAAGTCTTGCAAAATGTCAACATATACGTCGACTGTAATATATCTTAATATTTTGCCAGATTTCAGATCTTTATAAGAAATAAAGCAGTAGCTTTTCTAGCAGGGCTCTTGAGGTCAAGGGGGACCCGCAAATGCAGCGGCTCTGACTCCCTAGGGTGGAGGTGAGGTAGAGTGTGGATTTGGGGCGCAGGGCTGGGCCCATCCCCGCGGGCTCCCTCTAGCTGTCCCCTCTGGCCCACCTGAGTAATTTAAAGCCGACTGGTCCAGCTGGGCCACGGACACGGGGCCTCGGGACACCTGCGTGAAGGCGGCGCTGTCATGCAGCTGGGCGGGCTCGGCCCCCACGGCCTCGGCCATCCTGGTCTTGCTGCCCACGTCCGAGGTGGACCTGCGCAGGGCACAGGGTTGCATCAGGGACCAGGTCCCCGCACGCGCCACCTGGGGACGCATGGCCTCCAAGCCCCCCGAGGGTGGAGGGGTCCTCAGGCCTGCATTCACCCCAGATAACAAAGGGGCCACGTGCCCAACTTGTAGCAGCTGGCCACCATGGTGGACAAGCTGGAACCACTTTTAGATATTCAAGGTCAGTGCTCCTCTGAGGGTGGCTCTTGCGTCCCTGGGGAGTATAACACTTAATTTCCACATAGAAATAAGCCAAGTAATTATCGCCGGGTGTGAGCCGGGGGTGGTTGACCTGGGAGGTGATGACATCATGATCAGCCAACAAGAAAGCTCTGTCTGGAGCGTGGTCGCTCCCCCTGCTGACACCAGGACTGGTGACCCCGCGAGGGCTGGGGACCATGGTCCCTGCTGCTATTGGCAGACAGCAAGAGCAGGGCCCCAGCACTTTCTGGGCATTATGAATGAGAGACACAATTTTTCTTTTTTTGGTCTCAAGGTAAGCAGAGAATCCAGCCCATTTAACCATCATGTTTCCACTTAGTGCTCAGAAGGCCACATAAGAAGGGGGCAGCCTGTGCTGGGTGGCACCAGCCTCTCCCCTGTTATAAAGGGTACTGGCCAGTGTCTCTTCCCTTTCACAGAGGGACCTCAGGCCCTCCTAAAATTAAAATGGAGGAAAACTAAAGCAGCCACAGCAGGTGGCAGGCTGCCAGCCCACAGGGCCACCCCTCTGAGCAGAAGAGGGGCTGTCACAGTAAAAGTAGAATAGAGCCACAGCAAGGGGCCCAGATGGGGAGGCAGAGGTCTGTGTTCTAGCCCCTTCCCCTCTCTGAGCCTCAGTTTCCTCATCTGTAAAATGAAATGGGAGGATGACCCCATCTCAAAGGTCTAATGCTCTGGGTTTAGATGGAGGTCAGTGACCTCCTGATACTTGGCAAGGATGACAGATGGTGCAGAAGGACATGGGAGGGGACTGACAGTTGAGAGAAGAAGTGAAATAGATGCTGGCCTTTAGCCAATCTGCGGCAAATGGCTAATGTGACGTTCCTCCCATCCAGACCCATTAGAGCAACTGAGAAGCCCCTGCCCCTCCCCAGGGCGGGTAAACACAGAGGGTGTGAGGATCTGACCATACACAGGGGGTGCTGGATGCTCAGGAGTTGGGGGGGGCGATCTCCCTTCCTTTCTCCGTCCTACCTCCTCCTCCCCCCTTCTCCCTCCCACAGCGCTGGCTTCCTCTGGCTCCCCACATGCTCTTCCAGGCATCTGCTACTCAGCCAGAAAACTCTTCCCAGGGAAACTTCTGGGTTCTGCCCTATACACTCAGCCCCCTTTGAGGAATCCCACAGCCTTTGAGACCGTTTAGGCCACTGCCCTCATTTTACAGATAAGGAAACAGGGACCAGACAGGGGAGCCAGCTTGCCTGGAGTTACACAGCAGGTTTCTGGCAGGTTGGATGGAACCCTGGTCTGCTGCTTCCCATCCACCCTGAGTTGGCCTGAGGTCAAGGGGTGGTGTCTACAGCAGCTTGGCATTCTGACCGCTGGAAATGAGGGCAGGGTCGTTTCTGAGGGCAACTCATCTTTCTTCACCGTTTTCAGAAAGTCTAGACCTGTGGTCTACAGACAGGTTGTGACCCGAATGTCGTGGGGAGGCTGGGGTAGGAGGGCTGGGGCAGCGGGCACAGCTGTTTCTCCCAGCCGGGACACGCCAACTCTCCCAGTGCTCATGGCTTTTGTGTTTCTTGTCTATCTTTATTTAAAATGTGTGCTTTTGGTATCATTGCAGAGCAAAGAGAATGCTGAGCATTTGCTCACACTTGGCATATCTGATTCACGTGCTTTCAGCCTCCCCATCTTGGAAGTCAAGAGTTGGGGTGGGTGCCCAGACACACTACTCCCTGGCCTCTCGGACACCACCCTGTTATAGCAAAGGGACTTCTGGGTGCACCCACACGGCAGGAGGCACCCAGACTTGAGGTACTCATTGTAGTGGCCCGAGCTGGAGTGACTTTTAGATGTTCATGGTCAGGATACAGGGCTCTCAGTAGATGGGGAAGTCCACCTTGGGTCTCTTCAACTGTGAGTTCTACAGGGCTTTCTATTTAAAATGACAAGAAAGTTGGTCAACTCTCTGAGGCCCCCACCTCCTTCATGGTACTCGGGGTGCCCCAGGCACATGGTTGTCTGTCCAGGTGATGCACCCTGTGGGGCGGGGCATGAAGGAAGTCTGTCAGATCAGGGTACACCGGACCAAATCCTTCCAAAATATCCCAAACAAGGCAAAGAAAGGAATGTGTTACCGCCTGAGAGAAGCAACCGCGACAGGGCCAGTCCGGGGAGGTACAGGAGGAGGGGGAGAGCCCACGACCATTTCAGGAAGCTGGGAAAACCTGTAGGCCTGTGAAAGAGACAAGCAAATGGGGGGGGGGGGGTGGAGATGGGTTAAAACTCAGAGTTGATCAACACACAGGCTCTTCCTAACTAAAAGGAAGCAAACTTCCAAGAGTCAGACTTTCCTTCCCCCTTCAAACTTGGCCCTTCGATCTTCCTAACATGTTCCCAGCTGCGTCTGCTCTCTCATCTCCCATCACTGGCCCCTCTGCTTGGCCACTGCAGCCACAGTCCTTCAACTGTTGTTAGACACACCAAGCTCTCTCCTGCCTCCGGCCTTCGGACAAACTGTTCCTTTCCCTGGGATGCTTTCCCCTGAGATGTCCCCAGGGCTCCCTCCTTTACTTCATCCATCCAGCCCCAGATTCCCTAGAGCCCCATGTTATCTGTCTCCATATCCTGCGCTATTTTTCGTCACGGCAATTGTTACTTTGGTATTTTATTATATCATTGCCTGCTTATTATCTGCCACCTGCTAGACTGCAATGAGGCAGGGGCTTGGTTGTCAGCTACGTCCTCCTCAGGCCTGGAGCAGCGCCTGGTATGTCACAGATGATCGATAAATATGAGAGGAATGAATGAATGAATTATTGGTTGCATTTCATGGAAAGCAGGTCTGGTGGGGGAAAGCAGTGGATCTGGAATCAGGAGGTATGGGCGGAGGGCCTGCTTTGCTGATGAATAGACTTTCTGTCCCTAAGCAAGTCAGGTGACCTCTCTGGGCCTCAGTGTCCTCTTCTGAAATGGGGCAAGAATGCCTTGCTCAGAGGGGTGCTAAGAAGACCTAGCAATTCAGTATATGTGTAAGTATCTTGCAATCTATTCAAAGATAACGCATTGGAACTGTTACAAAAGTGAAGACTTTAACCAACACATGAGGGGATAAGAGGAAAACGGTCAGAGACAGGACCAGAGAGCCAGGCCAGAGCCTTCTTTAGCTAGAAAAAATCTAGACATGCTCTCTGGGAAGGCAAAGTTTAACTTGTGCTTCTCATTCATCTTTTTCTTTAGGTATCATGGCCTACCGATCTCTCGAGGAACAAGACGACAGGACTTTAAACCCAAAGGCAACAGGATAAAAAGCAGCAGTAGAGGGATTCCATAAATAGGATCCTTTAAACAGAATGAGGTTTCTCCCTCCTGCATCTGGCAGACCACACACTTGTAAGGGCTAACCCACTACATAACTAGATCCTGGATGAAGCATACCTTTTCATGCACTGGGGGAATTGCAAGATGTAAGGGAAATCTCAAAACCCCCCCACAAACCCTACCCCACCACCCCACCCCTGCCCCACACACCTCAGCAAACTAAATAAAACCATGAGCTGAAACCAGAGGTGGAACTAATGAGGAGTAAGCAAAGGGGGTGGGGTTGCCTGGAAGACAAATGCCATATTGGCCATCAATCAAGAGATCAAGCCTGGGATGGGGCAAGGCGAGGCAGGTGAACCCGAGACTCACTCACTGCCAGCCTGGAAGGGGCTGACAGTGGTCCTCCAGGCAGGAGGAGGCTGGTAGCACTCAGGCGGAAGCGACTGTGGGTCCTCTTTGGGGGGGAGTATCTCTAAAGTAGGCTCTCGCGATCAGCACAGACTAAGATGAAGCAACCAGGAGCTCATAATCAAAGACCAGAAAACATGCATGAAAGTCAGAAAAAACAAACAACAGATTTAGACCTTTAGGGACTTGAGAGTTTGAAATTTCCAGATACAAAGCAGAACATAACAACAGAAGAAATGTTTTTTTAAAAAAAATTGACCAGACAGAGATACTATCAGGAATGATCTGGTAGATTTGAAAAAGAACAAACAGGACTTTTAGAAATGAAATGGAATTACTGAAACAGAACACTCAACATAGGGGAATTAAGTAACAGATTTGTCACAGATGAAGAGAGAGTTTATTAAAAACTAGAAAATGGAACTGAAGAAATTACTAAGAAGTAATAACTAAGAATTTTCCAGAATTGATAAAATCAATAAATTAATTGTTTTAGGAAGTACAATATATTCCAAGCAGAATAAGTAAAATAAAGGGAAGCCTAGATACCTTGTACGAAATGATAAAATATCAAAGCCAAAGAGAAGATCTTAACAGCAGCCACAGAGAAAAGGCACTTGCAAAGGGATGGCAATTAGACTGGCAGATGACTTCTCAATAGCACCTGGAAGATCACAGAATGTGAAGTGCTCAGAGAAAATAACTGTCAGCCTACAAGTATACCAGCAATACTAACTTTCCAGAACAAGAATGAAAGAAATCATTTGCCCAGATCTAGAGGTACCGACTACATCAATACGAAAAGCAGCACTACCATTCTGCATTTCCCCTTTGAGCATCAGTAGACTACGGATGCTAAGGGAGTATTCGGGGAGCCAAATCTTAAGCTCCAGTAGACCCTGAGTTCCTTGGGGTTCAGCAACCATGTCTATCTCGTCCTGGTACTCCTACCTTACCAAGAAAAATGCTTTACACCCAGCAGTGCTAACTGACCATTTGCTGAATGAATGCTGAGTGAACCAGGAGCCAGGAGACCCCAGGCTCTCATCTTGATTCAGCCATTCATTCTCTGTGGACATGTCATTCAGTCTCTGCACCTCATTTTTTTGTTTTCTGTTTTCCTTGTGAAATAAGGCATTGGAGTAGCACACTGGCTTCCAAACAAACATTTCTCTAGCCATGAAACAATTTTGACATAACCCAAATACATGACCAGATTAAAGCAGAGCTTCTCTGGTTGAAGTTGGGTGGGAGGGCAGCCCTCCTTTGCTTACCTACATGATGACACCCTGGGAACATCCCTGAACCGTAAGGTTTTGCAGAGAATTTGAAAATCATTGTCCTGGATGTCCTTCCAGCTTTGCATTCCATTATCATCAATAAACCAACAAGTAAGGACATGCCTTTCCCAAAATAGAGAAAGGGTTCATAGCCCTTCTTCTCTCTTCCGGCCTCTCACGGCACTCAGTAGAGGAGACAGACAACCTATTTTATCCCTGGTTCCTGGAAGGCTTATTCTGTGGTGAGCACAGTTTTCTAGCTAAGACAAAGCTTTCTATGCCTGTGTCTGCGCTGTAGCAGTTCACCAAAAGAGTTGATTAAAAGTTCTGAACTCTGGACAAGTATCAAACCAATTCCTTTCTTTGGAAGATTTTTTCAGGTACAAAACAAGACTGCACAGGAGATGAGCTCCTTTTGGGCTATAGCCTCAGGGCCCTGGGGCAGCCACAGGGGCTATAGAAAAAGCAAAAAGGCAGCTTGTGCCCTGTGTTCGAGGGCTGAGGGAACCACCCACAGTGTCTTCCTTCCTCCCCTGTGCAGGTTCCTCATGGTTCAAAGTCCTCCTGGTTTCGCCTTCTGGCTCCTTTCTCTTGTATTTGGAACCTGGGTTTCTGCTGGCTGCTTTGTGACTGGGATCCCACTGGAAGCCATTGCTCAAAACAGTTGCCTGGTTCCAAGTACCCAGTTCCATGATAGTGGCTGCGAGCTGTCCAGCTTCGGGCCCAAGGACACCATCTTTTGGGATCCCTGCCCTCTGGCTAGGAAAGAGTTCAGAGACTAAGAACTGAAGGCAGTCTCTGTAAGCAGGTCTCAGATCTCTGAGGTGGAAAGAGCCAGGGTGTGACTAGAGGAGGACACTCTGGGCTCAGAAGTTTGGTTGTAAAGCAGAAGGAAAGAAGGTGGCCAAAGTTTTTTCAAAGTTCCAGTCCTGGTGTCCCTGGGTAGGGGCAAGGGGGGTGGGTCAGGGCCATCCTCTCTACCAATCCCAGTGGAGAATGGGCCCAAGTGAGACCCACTGTGTGCTGGTCCCTCCTTGTGCATGTGCATCCTTCAAGGAGGAGGAATCTGGTCAAGATCAACTTCAAGGGTAGCACCACAGAGGCAATAGGTCAAAGGGGGCAGCCTGAGGCTGAAGGAGCAGGTCGGGGGTCTCAGGCTTTGCCTTGGGGGAGGAAGGAGAATTGGCAGAACAAAGCCAACCCACGCTCATTGAAGGCCCTGTGCAGGGCCAGCAAGTCAGCCCTAGGTCAGAGTGGGGGCGCCCATGTTTCCATTCCTGCTGACATTCCTGAGAATGCTGCTCCAGTCAGAACACGCGTCCACTCAAGGCCACATGTAGCTATAAATAACTTTGCATCCCAGGGAAAGAAGTAGAATCTTCCAGAAGGATAGCTCTTATTTAGTTGAAAACAGTTCTTATTTAGCTAAAAACAGTTGATTGGTAATTGAAAACTAATCCCGTGTTGAAAACCCAGTGCTTATCTTGATCTGTCAGGTCACCAAGAGCTACTGTTGACAGAGCAATACTGGAGGCTTCCGGGGCCTCGGGAATCATAGAAGCTTCAAGCTGGAAAGAGAGCAGGAGACACTGAGACCATACCCCTTACCTTAAGAGAGGGGGGTACTGAGCCCAGAGAGATAAACTGACTTGTCCAGAATCACACAGCTAGTTAGGGGCACTGTCTCGCGACTCTGAGCTAAGTGTGGTGTGGCGCAGAGGGCATGGGTTTGAAGTCAGACAAAACTGAATTTGAATCCTGGCTTTGATCCTTACCAGCTGCTTGACCTCAAGCAACTTATCTTCTCTGTGCCTGCTTTCTCAGGTGATGAAAGGAACAGTATCATACCCCCACTCAAAGTCTGTGTGAAAGAATCATTTTGTGTGCCAGTGTAATGGCTGGCATACAACACAGATGCTCCATAAGTGACATTCCCTTCCTTCTCAGACAGGTAATATTTTGATATAGTCCTTGTAGTAACCAAGGCTTTCCCCCAGCACAGTTCCTTAAATCCAGGGCCTTCCCCCACCCCAAGCAGTGGAGGCACCCCACCTTCCTGCCCCAGGAAAGGAAGGCCACAGCCACTGAAGATGGCCCACTGATGGTCTGAGACGAGCCTCTGGGTCCTGCTTCACTCTAGGGGGCCGGGGAGGGGGATAAATATGAGGAAGCTGCTAGAGAGGGCAGAGGGCCAGGGGTGTGTGTGTGTGTCTGCATGAGAGAG